CCGAAATTATTTTTCTATTTTTATTAACTTCAGGGGAAATTCTTTCAAAGCACCGGGCTCATGTCCCATGGAACTGTACCTAGTACAGTAATCCGACCGAGCTAATAAGAAATTTATATCTTCCTACATGCACATCTCAGTGTACATAGAGAATATTTTCTGAATACATGGTTGGGAAGTGCTGTAAAACGTTTTTGAGGCGCATTCTGTGGCCTGTGGGGCAGATGTGACTTCGTATTTACAGACTCATTGAATTTGAATAAAAAAATACTTGTATTCTTTTGTTATGGCTGTATTGGTTAGGGGCTCAAGGCTTTGGTAAACAAAAACAAGAATTCATGACTCGCGAGTCACGAGAATCAAGATACTCGGTCTATGGGTATTGGGCTCCCTGGAGCCAGAAATAATGTATAGCATAAACTCTTGCCTGCAACAAGCGCGGAAGGAAGTGCCTATTTATACGGCTGGGGAATAGGGGTGATCATGGGCCGGGCCGGGCTTTGGACTTATAGTTTAGGCCCGGGCCTTGTTTGGTTTGGGGTTCTGGGCCTGAAACATAAACCCTAGCTTAGGTCTAAACGGGTCCAGGTTGGGCCAAGCCTGATGCCAGGCCAATGTCACTCGTATACAAAAGATGGTTCGACTGCCCGGGTTAGCAGTTTATTGACCAAATCAATGGTTTTTGGTCAAAAGATGGTTTTGGGGTGAAACGGAACCGGTCAGGTGCTTGTTCTCAAATTTTCCGATCTGGTCCGATTTTGAAAACACTGTTTAAACCAATATTTTCAACCTGCCATTGACCCAACCAATCAAATCATTCGAACCATTACCCGACCAGGATTCTAGGTCCAGTTCAGTCAAGACCTGTCAGACGGTCAAAAACCGTTGACTTGGTCACTAACTATTCGACCCAACCGGTTCAACCGTTGATCCATTCGACCTGGTGACCGGGTCGTTGGTTACACACTCAATGCATACAAAACTTTTGGAGGCCATAACTTTGCACTCCAATGTCTAATTGGGGTGATTTTTTTTTGGTAACTTTTCAAGATCTATGCGTCCCAAGGAGCGGTAGGTGCCTTACCCCACTATTTTCTTGAAAATAACCCTTTTGTACTCAAATTGCAATTTTTGATATTTTTATAAATAAAAAATTAAAAACGTAAATTAAATATAAAAAATAATGTATGCATGTATATGTATGTATGTATATATATGTGATGGCGTAGCATGATCTGAATCATTCAACCCGGTGACCCACGACCTAGAGGCAAAAATGGTTAAGCCCCTGAGTCGATTTTTAAAATATTGGTTTAAACCGTAAAACAGAATTTGCAGTTTGGTTCAATTTGACACCTTCTGAAATTATGGTTTATGATTTCAATTTGATTTATGGGTTTTATATATCAAACCAAACCGTAAATAAATCACAATTATAAATATATAAATGTATGAATATACAATATATAATTATATAAATATATAAATATTATCTAAACTGAATGTATAAAATTATAAATACATAATAATCTCTTTAATTTTATAATGAAATAATAAAATAAAAATTTTAAATCTTAACTTTTAAAGGTATTATTTGAGCTTTCTAATTGGGTCTAATAGAATCATAGAATGGCCCAAAGTAAGGTTCAAAATATCAATACATATCAGCCAATACGTATCGTATCAAGAATTTCCCAATATACCCTTACAAGGGTGTATCGGGGTTTTAACCAGTTCAAGAGGTGGACAGACCTTAAACTAACCCCTCCGAACTAGATTTGAAAAAAAAAAAAACAAAATAATAAAAAGAAAAAAATTATCGATACTGCCTGATACGCCTCTACCAACGTATCGGGCGTATCAATATTTTAAAACTTGGCTTACCGCACCAAATCATAATAAAACAATTTGGTCTGGTTCAATTTTCATGTCAAAACGGGTTGATTTATTATAAAAAAATCTTAAACCGTAAATTACTGATTTCATCTGAGGTTTCTCCAAAGCACACCAACTCAAACCGTGAACACCCTTGTAACCATAATTCCAGACTTGGGTCAAAATCAAATAACTTGAATACAAGCTTTAGATTCCATACCCAGCGCAGCACGAGCTGACCTACTAATCCCTAGTCCATCTCAGTGAGTCACTACAGAAGGCAAGAAAAGGTGGAAAACCAAAACACACACATCATGGTATCACTCTAGCATCACATGGGAAATGAAGTCACATTAGTAATCAACTTGAGTTAACGAAGAGGACAGAGGAAACGTCACGAGACACGTTTATATGCTCAATCCTCTCCGTATACTCAAGAAAAGTACCGTGTCTATATCTCCTGTGATATCAAGAGTGATAATCAAGAAGTGATATCAGAGCTCGGAAAAAAAAAATCAAGAAGTGATATCAGAGGGGGAGGTCTCAGACACCTCACACCATGCATGTAAACCAGGGCGTGGTCAGCTTGCTATTTAGTCAACGTACACTTAACTGTTGAAGAATAGGAATGTCAAATTGTAATTCAGAAATGACAAGCATGCATCCAATTAAAGTTGTTTTCCTGGCCTCAGCAGTCAGCACCTGCACGCATAACACATCATGCAAAGTTGCAAACATTTGCCATTAATGGAGTAAATCAAACTAAACTATCCAGTTAAATGTAGAGATATACACCGCCTCATTCAAGATCATGTTTCATTTAAATTAAGTGAAATACCATATATAAACAATAATACAAATACAGATTGGAAGTCATTTGGTTGCAGATGTAAAATCCATTGTCGTAGTGTCGTAGCTCAACAGTATGATCAACTTCGCTATCCAAGAGATAAGAGTTTTAGTCTCCAACAGTCCTTGTTTGAAAAAAAAAATAGCATATACTGCTTCCATAAAGATTTGAACAACACTCCAACCCCTCCTTTCCTGCAAACATCTAATAATTATTTCCAGGTTGAACCACCAAGTCTAATTACTTCCTCACTACTGCTATCCTTGAGGCCTCTTTCAGGTCCATTATACGCTCTTTGATCATTTGTTTCTCCATATAGATCCCTCAACTTGGCCAGATTGCTGGATATAGATATCTTCTCCTTGCCTGGGTCTCTAAATGGACTTGAATGGTGATCAACATGACTCCGGCTCCTGCTTCTACTTCTACTCCTACTCCTGTGAGAATTAGATTCTCTGTGCCTACTACTGTCATGGTTGCTTCTCTCATGATCTCGTCTGCTGCCTTCTCTCTCTCTGTCTGCATACTTGAACTTGTGATAATCTCGAATCTCATGACTCCCATTCCGATCATAGTCATATCTCCTGATCCTGTCCCTGTCCCTGTCCCTTTCTTTATCTCTGTCTCTGTCTCTGTCCCAGTTCCTGTCCTTTTCTTTATCTCTGTCTCCATCCCAGCCCCTTTTTCTTTCTCTGTCCCTATCTCTCTCTCTTTCTCTGTCCCCATCTCTATCCCTATACCTTTCCTTATCCCTGTCCCTGTCCCTGTCCATATCCCTATCCCTGTCCCTGTCTCTTTCTCTGCCAACACGATCTTGATCAGACAAATCATGGCTACGGCTGCGACGGTTGCTGGGAGATCTTTGCATGTCATCACTGCTGTTTCTATCATGAGAAAGTGGCAGGGTACGCCGAACAGGCGATGAGTCCCTTGTGGATGCACGATGAGGAGCACGCTGACCAAATGAGACGGAAAGAGAAGCTTTTACAGAAGGTGGCCGACGAGCAATATCATCAGATCCATGACGGTTAGATTCCCCAGTCACACCAGAGTGCTTGGTAGGAAGCTTCATCTTCTCAAGGTTGGCAATAATCTGCCGCATAATAGGAACAGGGGTGCGAGGGAAGAGTGTATCAAAGTAGTACTGCAGGAACATGTACAATTAGTCATTGGTTTCTTTTTCTAGTCACACAAAACACAAGAGTATATACATGGTCCAAGTATCCAACCATTTTAAATGTTTAACTTACCTAACCAGTAACCACACTACTCATCTAAAAAAAAAACTAAATTTGACAACAAACTATAGATTTTGCCATGTTTCAGGATAAAGAAAAAGTGCATTTGAATGAAATGGAAAATTTACCAGTAGCTACTTCGTTGCAAAGGTTTGACACTTGAATAATAAAAAAAAGTTGCAACAAACAAGTCCGAGGCATATCATGAGAAACCAAACCAACTTTTAAGTTGGTCTTACATACTCCAATTTTTCATGATCTAGAAAACTTGCAAATTAGGGCATCCTGGTTTCTGTCTCACACAAACTCAGAACAAGGCAGTTGCAACTCAGTTTCTTCAAGGCAGCAACACCTTTGCAATCAGGTAGCTGAGAAAATAAAACCTCCTTTGTTTGCTGACTCTACTACCTCTTAATAAGGCAAGTGTCAGCCCAAACGCCTGTGCTACATAGCCAAAAATAAATCCTTCCACTTCTATTTCAAACAAGATTTGAAAATTTCATTAGCTATTATCATCCGAAAAAAGTACCAAAATTTTGTAGGATACAAACGTGCTTGTTGGGGAATAACAACTGGTATACTGACAACCTGGCCAGCTATCTGATGGATGGTCTGGTTTAGTCAAATGATTTCATGTGGCAGAATAGCATTTGTCATCCAGACTTCCAGAGAATGATGACCCTTTAGGAAACCTTTTCTGCATTATTATTATATATAAATCATATGTGATCCTAACCGATTTAAATATCTGGACTCAGTTAAAAAACACAGCCCAAGGCCAACATGCATGTAAACAGAGATGGTTAAATTTCAGAAACAAAATTGCAATTTCATAACTTATTAATGAATAAATGAAATGTAACATGCTACTCTGCTTCTAGATAAAAGCAGGATTGTCTGTGATATCTACAGAACACGTTTAATAAAGAAAATAATAAAAGGTGGAAGACAAGTAGGTACATGCACAAGAGGGCACAAACGTGCAAGCTATTTCCTCTTTTCAATTGGAAACCTCGTGAATAGAATGCAGCCTGAAGAAACATATAACCATTCAATAAAATCACTTAATTGACAAGATCACAAACTACAGTTTCATTGATCATTAGTGGATAACAATTATTTTAATATCCAAGCGAAGAAGTGCCAAATGTATTGAAGATGTAATGAACATATTAACTAATGGAAAACTTATGGAAAGTGTAACAAACATGTTAATTTGTAAAGACCCTTGTTTTAAACTCAGAGTTCATTTCATTTCTTTTAACTCATTTAAGACCTAGAGTTGCCATAAAACTAGAAAGACCATTTTTTAACTTACATAGAATTTGCACTGTCAATAAAGATGCATGTACAAACAATGCTTAACTACGACTACTTCCTAAAACTTACCAAACTTAGCTGCTATTGACTGAGATTCATTTTGGAGTTCTCTGAGGTCTGGAAAATTAAAGGTTTGTCCAAATGAGGGAGACGGTGCAAATTACTCCCTTGCAAATTAAGGCATCCCCTAATTATTGAGGTATCAAGTAGTAGCTACATAATAAGCTCTAGCTTCCAGATGCATATCTTAGTAGAAAAATATACAGCACACGCCTGCAATATACCCAGTATTTTTTTCATCCCAAAGTTTCATTTTGGGCCCTAGGAGAAAATCTGCAGGGCAAAAAACACCTCTCATAGGCAACACTATTGAGATAAACTCTTTTTAATTGATTAATAAACCATCTTCTTTGAGATGTTATTGCTCTATTTTCCATCCTTTTTTCTGAAAGAATACAAACAAGATATTAAGCAAATGAGATATAAAATTATTACTTGGAAGGATGCAGATCTACTGTAGTTGTCAAGGCATCACCTAGGCACCTCACCTAAACACCTTGACTTATAGCAACAAGGCACCCATTAGACAACTAGGAACTCGCCGAGGTTAATCACAATGCCAACATCTTATTATGATAACATTACTATAGTAACAAGTCAATACTAGGCGACAAGGTGCCAATGCATAAGCAGGCAACTAGGTACTACCAAGACACTGGTTAGGCAGTGACTCTTTGAACAATAAGACCTATAATTAATTGGGAACACCCATGTTGACATGTTGGTGTCTTCATTTTCTTATTATTTTGTATTGAAAATATTGAAAGAAAGAAAACAAAAATGAGTTTTGCATATAAATGCACATTACATCATCATCATCTAAGCCTTATCCCAACTATACGGGGTCAGTTACACAAATCATGTTCCCCCATTCCATTCTATTTGGTGCCATATCCACTGTTAAATATGGGCCCTTAAGTCATTTCTCATTACTTTATCCCATGTCCTGTTTGATCTGCCCCTAGCTCTTCTAGCTCTTTCAATTTGAAACAGGCGTGCACATTAAATCATTAATTTCAAAGGTAATAGCACTTTTAATCATAAATTCTAATACTCTACATACAATATAATCAAACTCCATTCAACAAAGTAGAAATGTAGAATGGTATATTTAAAACAATGATTTTTTTATAAAACAAGAATCCAAGCAAATAAATAATTAACAATATAATAATATATTTTCCTATTTCATTTATTAAAGAGCATAAACAAAATACAACATAGCATACAGCATATGATAAAGTGCCTGGCTTGTCCTTTTGCTTACCTAAGAAGGCACCAAACAAGTATGCAAAAAATGCATGATACAAAGGTGCTCCCCACCAAATCACCCACCTAGGCATCGCCTTGATTACTAATCCCTTCTTACATCACCAATAGGAACTCCCTTGAATTCCTAAGAAGTGGAGACCCTAAGCTAAGGACAGCATGAACTATTCCTCTGAAAAATTGACCCTTATCAAATATGTATTATTTCTTTTATTTTGTCCACTTAAGGTAATGCTTGGACAGCATTACACTTTTTCTCTGGATACACAACAGACTAACCTCAACTCTATTAGAAAAAGCACTAGTAACAAGTAACTGATAAAAAATTTACAGCCTTACTCCAAAATAAGCAAACTAGGAATGATGCAAGGTTCAGAAAAATATTACTGAAAAACCATTACTGAATGAAATAACCTTTGTCAAGGGGTATCAAGTTGAAGGTAAAACAACTTCATAATGTTCCCATTTATCATACTTTGTTTCATGAAGAACATTAATTTACAATTTACAAAGAGATGTACTCTCAGCCACCACCTTGGGAGAATGGCTTTCTCAGCCTACAATAACAAAAGAACCACGGAGTCAAGTAACTAACGTACACAACCACAATCAACAGTCAACAAGAGGTGAATAACATCAAATAAACCTTTCTAGTATGAAATCTAGAAGACAACATGTAACAAAAGGAAAACACAGTGGACAGTCATTTCTTCAAGTGCTGGAAATTATGGAAAACTGACCTGTCCAAGAAGTAAATCTCGTATATAGACACCCATTGTAGTTACTCGACCATTTGAGCCTGGAGAGAACTCCTGAAGAACAAGCATCATACCAATATTAATGAATTGCCAAAAAATACTTCCTCCAATTCACAATTTTGAAGAGTCTACCAAAGATTGTGGATCAAGTGAAGGAGGGTGGAATATTAAGAGGTTTCACAACTTGTGTAATTTTATTGATGAAAAAAATATATATACAAAAGCATATTTATCAAATACACACACACAGGCATCCATCGACACACATAGAGGCAGTATAGTCACTATATATACAACAGACTCAACCCAGAAGTTTGCAAACATGTTGGCAGACCTTGGAATTCATGCAACAGAATAGAACCTCCCAAAGTGTTTATTAGTGGTCTTGCTTCTTGAACTTGATGCCTCAACTACCAGGTTCCCCCTATAACCACTCTACAATTACCTCTAAATCCTCTTCAATAATCAGATTTCTATAAACTGCATTTTTGGTCAATCTTAGCCATCAAAGTACAGCATATAATTAATACCTTGTAGAGTTACCAATGCCTATCGGACTAAAGAACTCATAATAGCACAGAGTCATCCAAGCTACACCCGTCAAAATTTAACTTTAAACCCTGTTGCAGAGGAGGAGACGATGGAATGCTAGGCCCATCTCTTATTGTGCAAGTCAATGCAATCACTTGCTATCACCTAAGGAAATCATCCATGGAGTAAACAAGAAAGCACCTCCAAAGTCTTTAGCCAATGGTTGACTTTGATCTCTAACAATCCTACTATAGAGTCTCTGCACTGATAGCCTGATACTAACAAGAGAAAAGTTAAGAGGTTTCACTTGGCGAAATGTAAGTGTGTAGATCAAAGAAGCTTGGTAGATTAGGCATTAGAAGAGTTAAAGAGTTCAACAAAGCATTTGATGATTAAGTGGTTGTCTAAACCAAAATTGATGTGTGATCAAATGAACTCTAACAGTATGAATAAGTATTGTGTTAATGCCAAGGAAGCCTCTAGAGGTTCCCTTGCCTCCCCATGGAAATCTATCTCTTTTCTGTCTCATTTATTCCAGGCCTTGATGGTATACTGTGTCCAATGGGAATAGAACTAGATTTTGGGAGGATTTTTGGTGGGGGGGCTCCACACTAAAAGAGAAACTCCCTAGAATCTACAACCTGTCTCTGAACAAAAATAAAACAGTTTCTTGATGTTTTTCAATAGCCCTTCAGGTCATGGTGGGACTTGGGTCTTAGAAGGGGTTGAAGGGATTTGAGAATCAATTGCGGTGGTGGACATTATTAACTTTTTGGAATGAATTCAGCTGGACTCTTTCTCATCTGATAACCGAATTGGATTCCTTGTAATTCTGGTAATTTCTCTTGCGCATCAATTTTTTGAGGCTCTAATACTGTCTGTTTCCCGAGGGAATTTCAGGTTAGAGACATTTGGGTGGCTCCTATCCCTCAAAAGATTCTGGCTTTTTGTTGGGAAATTTACCATCAAAAGATATAGACATTTGATGTCCTGCAAAGAAGACCTGATTGGTGCTTATCCCCTAGTGTATGTTCTCTATGAGTCTATGTATGGCAAGTGATAGAGCTGCATTTCACTTGTTAATCTCCTACTCTTATGCTTCTAGCTTTGGGAGAGTACTTTTTGATCTTTTTGGTTGTAGGCGGTCGACTCTAATGAATCTATGGAGTATCTTTGAACAAAGCTTCCTTAGACCAAGGAGGAAGAGAGGCAAGATGATGTCGAGGTGCATTAGGGTGCATAGTTTTCAAGATGCCAAGGCGAGGCTAGGCGAGTGGGGGCACCTAGTCGCCTGGTTGCCTAGGCGACGGATTTTTTTATGTTAAAAAATAGATCCTAGGGTAGTTCCCTAGGTACCATAACCATATTTCTTTAATAATTATTCATGGTTTTCATAAGAAAAGTATAAATTTCATATTAAAGTATAGAAAATCAACATATTCATGAGAAGAAAAGGAAGAAAG